TTGAAATCTGGGTTATTAAGAAGCACTAGCGAAGTACGGACTGGTAAAGAGTGACTGGAGAAGAGTGACTGGTAAAGAGTGACTGGTGAAGAGTGACTGGGGAAGAGTGATAGGTGAAGAGTGACTGGTAAGAGGTGACAGGTGAGAAGTAAACTGGTGAAAAATAAACTGGTAAAGAGTGACTGGTGGAGAGTGACTGCTAAAGAGTAAACTAGCGAGGAGTAAATTAGTGAAATATAGGCTGGTGACAAGTGAACTAGTGAACCGTTGAACCTTTAACCGTTGAAATGTGGACCGAGGATCGGCTGGTGAAGTTTGAACTAGTGGAAATTAAACAGGTGAACAGTAATTGATAAGGAGTAAATAGTGAAACGGTGAATTAGAACTGGTGAAACTAAGATGTTGAAATATAGGTAAGTGAGAGTCGATTGTTGAAATGTAAACCGGTGAGATATGAACCGCCGAAGATTAAACCGGTAAAGGATAAATAGTGAGTGAGTTGATCAAATAGATCAAAATTTGGATTAAGAATGTGTTGAAACAGTACGTAAATAGGCTTTTTAGAGTGAGCTCTACAGCTGATTATACAGGTGATCACTGACCCGGGGACCTGGTGGTGAGGGCGGCCAGGGCATCGAAAGTAGTGAGTGAACACCCTTATTTTGCCAACTCGTCCCCAAATACCTAGAATCTGCCGTCTTGATTATGTGACTGATGACTCATCTCGATTATCACCTCAATAAACTATTATGGCCCTTTCAAAAACACAACTTCCCTTCCTAGAAGACACAAGCCAAAATTATTTATAGTGTCTAGGCCCGACCCATGAGAGAAAATACATCAAGTTGAAATTCGGGTTACCAAATCTCATAGCATACTTATCAGCTACAACGAGCATAATTCCCAAGGAAAATAATGTGATTCAAAACCCTCCCAGTGGTATTTCACTCGATTTCACTCAAAGCCTCAACCCCGATTCGAATGAATCATACGTCAGGTTTATTGTAGTAGTTTTGTGGATGCTGTCGCACGTATCTACACCACTAGCCCAACCTCTGGGGCGAAGAGAACGGCCTATAGGTGAAATACTTTTACACTACCTGCCTTCGCCGCGCCAGGAATCTTTACGGGCGGCCGACCTGGCGGTCTTGCATCATACTATATCAAAAAGTGCTCCAAGACCTACAGCAATACCTGGGCAGAATGACCGGCTCTTTATCGATCTTCCCTTAATACTGATCGCGCGCTACGGCCTTCAAATAAGGGGTGTGCCTAAAATGCAGCGACTGGGTCAAGCGATTGCTCGTCGCTCACAATGCATATCTCGGTCACTTCGTCGTTCATACCTCCGGAGATCACGGCCGGGGTCAGATCGTTTATTAGGTACCCTGAAAATCTTAGCCAGCGCACTGAATTACAAACAAGACTTTCTACTGTCGTAATCGCTACTAAGCCATGTTTACTTCTTTGGATCTTTCATACTGAAACTTCTTGCGGAGGGCTCTGAGAAGGACGTGGTGGACGGAGATCAGAAGGACTTTATAGATCTACTTACCCTAGCGGTTAATCAATACGCTTCAAAATAACGTTTCATATATTTTGTCATCTTAGATTGACCCGGTGTCTCCATGTGCTACTCTAGCTGCCAGATTTTCAAGGCGAGAATTGGACCGCAGACTAATAGCTATATTTCAAACTTAGACTTGGGTATGGCAACTAGGAGATATGTAATCAACTGAACTTGATGTAGTCATTCCTAAATACAGATATGTTTGCCAGGCTACTCGAAATCACTAAAAATTGATTTCTCCACTCACCAAATTTTCGCATTCCAGATTTGCTTCCTTTGCTTGTGCACGCGGCCTGATATGTATAGTAGGGATGCCATGACCACATAATGAAGTGAGCCAGGACTAAAGTTCCAGCCACCCGGAAAGCAATCTACACATACTCATAACATAATGCCGTATACTATCAAATGGAGGGATCGGGATATAGGAATGGAGCCGTGCTCATCGAAATCGAAGGAGGAGGAAACGGGGCGGACTCGAAGCTGCTTCCAGGATCATTTGGTACACACACACACACACAATTCATTAACGCCCGGCGGCCGAGCCGAAAGGGCAACTATCACTAATCTACCAGTACATGCATGTTTGGGTATACGCTGTGTCTCCTTGGAGCCCATACATCATTTCCTTCCGTATTTGACATCTTAACTTCCAATCTCATAGCTGGTCCCTGTGGGTAAGTATTGGTTAGTAGACTAGCTTGAAGGCGCTTCTTCAAGTGTTCAACATCCTATCCTCGGCAGTTGAAGCGCGTCCACTGTCTGTCACAAGGTGTTGGGGTTAGTAGGAGAAGGTGTTCTATCTGCGTTCGTCGGCAAGGTTAAGTGGCTTCAAGCCGGCCCGTAGCGATCGCGAACCGTATTGAGGCTCGTACTGCTTCCAAATTTGGCTTCCACTTTTGATCATCGGAGGATGACTTCCCTCCCAAGTAGAAGGACATGTTACTTCGGTGAGTGTGGGTACATTGCAGCATTTCTGTCCGGTGTGCAGTCCACTTCCGACATCGAAAGAGGAAGTGGTCCACAGTTTCTCTTGCTTGTCCACATGCGCATTGATCTGTCTCGGCGGCATTGATCCGGAAGAGATATCCATTGAGTCTTGCCATGCCCGTGCGGAGCTGGGCTAGCACGCTCGCCTCTTTCCACGATAATCGGTCATACAGCTGTCGCGTGTGTTTTCCTGGGAGTGCTGTGTCCACTCGTCGGGAGTGTCTCCCTACATTCTCGGGCAACTCGCTATTGGGGACTGCTTGGGCACGCGCAATCTTTAGAGTGGTCGATCTCATTTTGGGGACCTGTCCTTGCAGGATAGCATCTTCTTGCGTCGCGGCTCTCGCCTGCTCTTTCGCCAGCCCTAGTAGTTTGTTGTCTTCGCTAGTGGGGATCCACCGGACGCTGATCTGATTTCCATGCTTCTGCAGTCTTCTCATCAGCTTGTAGATTTGACAGACAAATTCCTGACCCGACTGTTGTCGCGGATTCTTCAGCGTGAGAGCTGTCGCTTTGTTGCTCGTGATCAACGTGATCCTAAAGTCTTTCAATCCCACGAGTGTCTTCAGTGTATGCGCCATTGCCGCCAACTCCGCGGAAAATGGATTTTGCTCTGTTCTCGTACTCAACGCGACGGACAAGGTCTTCAGTCTCACTTTCCGATAGCGTGGTGGTTGTTTCTCGATCGCCACACCAAATCCGACCAGCTCGTTCCGCGCTGAGCTGCTGAACGCAATCTGTATTGACCCGCCTGGTACAGTTGACCCCTCTGAGATGGGCTCATCAGTCTGCACGCGTGCTTCCCATGGTGCCAGTGTAAAAGGGTTGATGGTTTCCAGCGATTCCATATCGATGTTTTTCAGCGCGTCCGCTACTTGGTATAATGGTGAGCGGTGGTATCTCCTGAACTTCCTGATCCGATCTGTGTTTCTGCGGAGAGGGTTGGTTTCCGGTAGCGTGTGGAGGTCTGTCCACATCTTCACGGCTCGTCTCCAGAATCGGTGTTGTGCCGTGGCAATGTGGGCCTCGGCCTCCGCTACGCTGGTCGCAACGGTGAGGAATGTGCCCACAATTGCTTGCGCTCCTACCCTTTGCACCCGGTTGATCGGTCCCATGTTTTGATTCTTAAAGGCATGCATCCAGACATTCGAGGCATAGTCCACCACTGGAGCTACTGTCGACGAGAACAACTGCCGCGCTGTCGCTGGAGAGAGACCTCGAAGTCGTCGAAGCTCCATCGCTGCCTCCAGACCTTTAGACGCTGCCCTGGCAATATGTTCCTTGTACTTCAATCGCGTGTCCATCAGGACCCCGAGGATTTTGACCTTGTTCTTAGGCACGACCGTCTGTCCCTTGACAGTAAACGGTTCTTGGTCGACTTTGCGAGCCTTGGGTGCGAAATGTATAATGGCTGTTTTGTCTGCTTCAAAGGTTGCGCCGCTCCTCCTTTCCCAATCGAGCGCGTTATTGATGATTGTTGCGATACCTTCCCGATTACTCTGTACGGTTGGCCCTGTTACCCACGCGGTGAAGTCATCCACGAAGGCAAGTGCTCCTCCTTGGCCGTCGATCGGTCTCTGCACGAGGTCGGCGTTGAAGAAGAGGAAGAGAATCGGAGACAGGGGCGAGCCCTGAGGCAGTCCAGGCTGTGGCAGGTCCTGAACCTCGGACAGCTGCCCATTGATCTGGATGGCCGCCGTTCGTCCCGAGCAGAACGCCTCAACCCACCGAAGCAGAAATTCCGGTATACCTCGCGCCTTCATCCTCTGGATCAATCGTTCCTTACAGACCCCATTGTAGGCCCCCTTGACATCAAAGCTGATCAGGCTCAGCACCCGTCGTCCTCGCCACGCTGCGTAGATTTGCTCCTGTAGGAGTAGGAGTGCCTGCTCCGCGGACCGCTGCTTTCGGGCCCCGAAGTGACTGGTTGGGAGCAGACCGTGGCTCTCCACTGCGTGCGAGATCCTTTCTGCCACCACTGACTCCAGGATCTTGCCTAATGTGGCGAGCAGTGAGATCGGCCTCCATGCCTTGGCAATGGTGTAGTCTTCCTTGTTCGGTTTCCTCAGCGGAATGATCTTTGCGTGTCGCCACTGTTTCGGCAGCGTGCCTTCTTCCAATGACGCCTGGAAAAGATCGAGGACCCGGTGTTTGACCGTGGGCCAGGTCATCTTCCACACTATGGCCGGTAGGCCATCCTCACCTGGCGCCTTCCATGACTTCGTTGCCAGCAACTGCCGCTCCACCTCTTCCCTGGTAATGGTCGGCATCTCCACCGGTGCTCTTTGTGGTCTAGTTCCCTCGTCGCCAATGCTGTCCGGCAGCGGTGGGAAGAATTTAGTCAGTAGTTCTTCCGCCTGCTCCCCATGATCGGTGGTGACCGTTCCATCTGCTCTGACGAGCTGCGGCACCTTTCCGAAGGCTGCGTCTTCCCCTGATTTCAGATACTTGGCAGCTTTCCAGATATTGTCGTTGTCAGCCAGAAACTCGTTCCAGTGTTTCTTCTTTTGTTTCCGAATCGCGTCGTGGTATTGCTTTGCGGCGCTTGCAGCCATGTCATCCAGCTGTGGCACCTTTCGTCCTGCTCGTCGTTCCGAGCGGGCGTGGTTTCTCCAATGTGTGTATATCTGACGAAGTTGTGTCAGGTCCGCCGTCCACCACCGCTTTGCGTGCGGTGATGGTTTGGCCTTCGGCGTCAACGCACGAACCGCTTCCGACACCGCGTACATCAGCCGATCGGTCTTCTGCTGCACGGAACCTTCCACCGGAGTGGCAGTTAGCGTGCTCGCGATTCTGGCATTGATCTCTTTCCACGGTGCATTCTTGAGCAGCAGTCTGTCTGTCTGCGTTGGAGCTATCCAAGGCGCATCAAAAACAGTCTCAATGGTAACATGATCTGAACCGTGCCCCGTTCCGTGGACCGCACATTTGGTCATCGAGTCCGTCAAGTTTTCCGAGGCGAGAACGAGGTCGATCGTCGACTCGCAGTCCCCCGAATATCCTCCGCCGTGCCATGTCTTGGTGCCCCGTTTGAGCAGGCTGCTGAGTCCAAATTCATTCATGAGATCGATGATCGAATCCGCCTCGCCTTGTCTGACTGAGGACACCTCGTCTCCTCCCCACAGTTGATCATGGCGGTTAAAGTCCCCCATGATCATGATCTCCACCATCGTCCCCGAGCCTCGCCGTACCTTTGCGATTGCTTTTCGGAGGTGATCGCATGCGTCGATCAACGCAAAGGCATCCCCTCCCTCTACATAAACTGATGCGATAAAAATCCGTCGCTCGGGAAGCTGAATGACGGCCGCCGTTAGGTCCGGCGAATTAATCCGCACTTGCTCCGCTTCCACATCCTTGTTGACCCACAGCATGCTTCGGATCGCCCATCTCCCTTCCCTCCACGTGGAGGGAACCATCTTGGTCCACTTGTGGTGCCCCATCGGGGTGGTCAAGAGCCGGCCTTGAATCCTCCTCGCCTGGGGCTCCTGGATCGCTAGTGCCACTGCGTTTGCGGTATCTTGGTCGTTCATGAGGCTTTCATGCACCTCACCCTGTTTCCTCACATTCAGTTGCATCACTCGGAGCGTTTTATTCATTGCGTGGCGGATAGAGCTTCCGACAGTTTCTGCTGAACGATTCGTGAGGGCCCCCGCATGGAACGCACTTCGGAACTGTCTGGTCGCAGCTACTGTGGCGATGGCCTTCTACGGCGCACTTTGCGCATCTCTGGGCATTCTTGCACTGAAAAGCCTTGTGGCCAATCTCCTGGCACTTATAGCATTGCATCGGTCGTGGTCGGTGCTCGAAGGTGCTGGTTACGCCGGATTCTCCCCCAGCATGGAAGAACCCGTCGGCTAGCAGTCTCCGTGCGTCACTACCTTTAGTGAGGTAGACGACCATTGACCCATATGCTTTTGCGCTCTCCCTCTTGCTAAGCCATGCGATTTTCGCAACGGTGGCTTCGTTCTCCTCGCTGAAGGCGGCGGCTGCTCCGACACGGATCTCATCTTTTTCATCCAGAACTGCGGCTTTGTTAACGCTGTCAACTTTGATAGGGTAAAGCTCATCCCGAAGCACCCGTGCCCCCGCACCGATTTGGGATTCCGCCACTTTCTTGATCAGCTGGTGCTCGGCTTCGTCGCGGCACGCTATTCTGATCCGGTTCGTGTTCTTCGGGTCCACAGTGACGGCGCGACAGCGCCAGTGCGTGTGGTCTGCCGTCGCTCGGATCTCTGTCTCGACTGCCGCCCGGATAGAGCCCGCAGACATCCTCTCGTTTTCGTTCTCTGCCATCCTGGAGGTGTCGATTGTGCAATAGAGTGTGTCGGTGAACGTGGTTGGTGTTGTGTTCGATGTCGAGAGGCTCCGTATATTACTCGGGTGGCTGAGCGGGGGAGTGCGGGCGACATCGGCATAGGACGGGGAACCTGTGAAAGCGGGAGCGCTGATTTCTTCACGTAGGGATTGGATTTCTCGGAGGATTTCATCGTGACCCGTCTGGGCGCACGCTTCGGAGTTGCACTGCGATGTCGGGGTCCTGTCTGTCAGGTTCTGTAGCTCGTGCTGGACCCCGGCGAGGGCAGCACCGAACTCTGCTTTGGCTTTTTGTAGTTCTTCCTTGTGCAACTCGTCTCGTAGTCTGATTTCTGTCCTGAGTTTGGCGATCTCTTTCACCAAATCGTTCACATCGAGGTTGTCGCTCTCGGTCGCGGAGTCATCCGAAGCTGCCTTATCAGGCTGAGATTCGGGTCCAGTCCTCTTCTTTTGCTGAGGTCGCGTCTGCCTCTGTTCATTGTCGATTTCTTGTTCTTGAGCATAGATTCGGGGTGGTCTGGTGATGCGTTTCGGTCTTGCCAGTCGCGGTGGCGAAGCTTCGCGTTCGTCGCGGTCGGGCGGCTCAGGGGTTCGCATCGCGGCCCGTCCCGCCATCACTCTCAATCAGTACAGGAAATCGGTATTGTCGCCACGTGGCACTCCGTAAAGCTCCAGAGTCCTGCTACTATCTCATTTGGTACAGTCGATAGCGAAAACGGCTTCTACCCTCATGGCTGCTTTTCTTTTCTCGGGCCCCACTGCCAAGAGATATTTACTCCACTGATATTACGAAAATAGATCGCGATCACAATTCTGACGATACGAATACCATACAATACATTTTCCTATCACAGCGTCGGAAGAATGAATCCCCAGCATCAGTGCGATAGAAAGACAGAAATGGTAAGTCAATAAACGAAACTAGCAGCTAGTAATGATTGAATTATCAATTTCATTCATTAACATACAATTGTTTCTGCATACATGTTCAGCGAAACGTAGCGAAAAGTACATGATAGCAATTCATTGAGCAACTAATTCCAGAGGTCATGGGACCTTTAATTTTGTAAGATGGAAGGAGGGATGTGGATCAAAAAGAAACCAGATGTGCTAGACAATTCCCGCAATTTTATCTTGTTCTCCTATACATAGACGAAATTTGGAGAGCAATGTCATACGCTTCACCTTGGGCATTACCCTCAGCTCCTTTATCGAGCAGTAACTGCACGATCTTATCATGGCCTTCATAAGACGCAGCTTGGAGGGCATTTCCATAGAATCCACCTTGGGTGTTGACCTCAGCTCCGTTCTCTAACAGTAACTGCACGATCTTGTCGTGTCCTCTGTAAGACGCAGCCTGGAGAGCATTCCCATAGAATCCACCTCGAGCATTGACCTCAGCTCCTTTCTCAAGCAGGAACAGTGCGATCTTACTATGTCCTCCTTTAGATGCAGCATAGAGAGCGTTTCCATATTCTCCACCTTGGGTATTGATCTCGGCTCCCTTCTCGAGTAGTAGCTGCACCATCTTATCGTGTCCTTCGGCAGACGCAGCCTGGAGAGAATTTCCATACTCTCCACCTTGGGCATTGACCTCAGCCCCTTTCTCAAGCAGCAACAGTGCGATCTTATTATGTCCTCCGCAAGACGCAGCATAGAGAGCATTTCCAAAGACTCCACCTTGGGTGTTCACCTCGGCTCCTTTCTCGAGTATAGTTCGTGACGGTGAGTAGGAGGCTGTTTTCCGCTTCCTTTGTCTGCCTTTCTGCCTGGTCGCGCACGTGACTCGGGGTTGTGCCTGGCCCCTGCGGGTTGGTTGGCTCTCGGTGGCCCATCAGTAAGTTGCGGCCCCTTATGTTGCTAGGTCCGTAACAGTACTCTATCAAAAGATTTTAAGGGTTTTAAGCTATTTAGGGTTGAGTCGTACGATTACTACAGAGGACGGTAGTTACTAAAAATCAAACTGCGTATAGATTATAGATAAACTTAGAACTTCTAAAAATCTAAGGTTAATCGTACGAAGGAAATTACTTACAGTCAGGGTAGGAAAAATCACTTGCAGTCAGGGTAGTAGGGCGAATTCTGCCCATACTTAAGAATAACTTACCGCCGTACAGTCAGCCTGACTGCACCAACCCTTTTGGGATAGGACTGGCCAAAACGGTCTTTTACGGTCTCTCACAGTCTTTATACCGCTCTGCCAGAGGAAAGTTGCTGTACAAAGTACAGATTAAGCACGACAAGGAAACAGCCCAAGGCTTCCAGAGTGACTCTTGCCGACTTGCCTTTTAACTGTTTAGCTTACACAACATCTGATCGGATTAACATCTGACAGACAAGCCTTAACACCTCTAATACAGAGGAAAAGCAGAGCACCGGTTGCACTTGTCTTCGACAGCTGCACACTAATCTTCCAGCGTCGAATCAAGTAGAGCCCAGAATCAGTCAGCAACCCTGAGGTCATCCACCTGACCTACGCTCCTTTGTAGTTCTTTTTTCTTTTTGCTTTTCAACAAAAAGGATTATATTCGATAAGTTTGAATCGGTGCGTACAGCCCTAATTCAATTTCCTATAGTAGATACCCTGCGGATATTCAGTCAACGAAAGCGGTTCCCGGACTCTCCATATATATTATACTCAGATTAAAAGTACGATACTTTGGTTTTGTTACTGTATTGGAGATCCATCAGCAACTAGAAGCTTCTATGTAACGCAAACAAATGAAATAATTAAGTTAGAGATAGCTTTGACAACCTGGCGAGTTGAACCTGCCTCTACCACTCCTGTCACATTAACAGTATCGGGCTTACTCAGTTCTTGATAGTATAAACAGCAACTTACCTTAGCTTACTTACTGTACTCACAGACTCTTGATGCTTTATTGATCTTCGTGAGCCTTTCGTGATAGAGGTTGACAACAAAATGATATTCCCGGACTTCTCTTTGGTATATTCTGTCTTCAGGAATAACTTACACTTATTTTAATAATGATACCGGCTAACGCCGTACCGACTTGCGCCCCCTTGATAAAACCCTATATGATTTCACGAACCAGCACCTATTCATATACGAAACTACATTTGTGGCCAGGTTGTCTTCGCAGCGGGCAACTTTACTGATGCCGTAGAAGCGATTTCATAGGCAACATCTGAAGATCGTATGATTAAGATAGTATCATTCAAACATTGTATATCCGATCTTTTGAAGTTAACTGGAATTTTGCCACAGTTTAGCTGATCCGGAAAGCGAAAGGCGTGTCTAATCGTTCGGAGGGAGTAATGACACTTTTGAGGCAGAGGCACGTTGCCTTTCTGGTCGTACCTAACAAAAATATTACAGAGTTTTAGACAAATTAGGATTAACTCGTACGACTGCTATAGAAGACTATAGAGACTATAAATTAGGTTAGTAATAGATTATATATAAACTTAGAACTTGTGAAAATCTAAGATTAATCGTACAAAGGAAATTGCTTGCAGTCTACTCGAGAAAAATTTTGTTGCAGTCTACTTAGTGGGGCGAATACTACCTATACTTAAGAGTTTCTTACTGCTGTACAGTCTAGTAGACTGCACCAGGTCCCTTGGATAGGACCCAAAACCCATTTTGGGTCGGGTTGGGTTGGGTTGGGTCATGGTTGACATGGGTTCTGGCGATGTCCTAGTGGTGGGGCGAATTCTGCCTATACTTAAGAATAACTCACCGCCGTGCAGTCAGCCTGACTGCACTAGGTCCCTTGGGATAGGGAGAAATGACGTTGACCTTTAAAAGGGTGGGAATTGCGACTCAGCCTCTCACGTGATGATGGAGCGCTTTTAGTATTTACTCTCCTTAACGAGCTCTCCTCGACCCAGGGTCTCAGGATGAATGGGACATTCTCGACGACCCGCGGTTTACAGTAGGCTGTCCTCCCTGTTTCCGAATCCTCGCCGTATCTCCTAAGCACGGACGAATGCGAGCCCCCAGAAGCAGGAGACGGCGACGGCGTCGCCCGAGCAGACGATACATTCTCCACCCCTCTCCTCTCCGCCAAGGCATTCGTGCCCCCCCTTCTTCGTGGACGCAGATGCAGATCCCAACTCCGCGCCCAGACACCTATCCTCTGATAACCGCACCGAATCCCTTCCGTAATCTCGCACGGCCCGTGAAATTTCCAAATTTGGGAAGATACAGAGTATGTGAGAACGAAGATTGGACTGTCCTAAAAACATTGGCGTTTGACATATCTAGACCTGGCACTGCACCTCAGGTAACCCTACCGACCCTGCACCTGCACCTCCATTTGGGCGGTTCAGGTTCCAAGATTCCAACCCTCAGGTGCGGTAGGTCGAGCACCTCACCTCATGAGGGTAACCCTGAGGTGACCCTGAGGTGCGAAACGTGACCTCAAGTGACTTCTTTGTAAGTGCATAACTCTCGTCGGAAATTCAGTCGTATTCTATGGTAATTGGAGTGAAAAATCAAATCATTTCTAGTGAATTTAATGATCCAGAAAAATCCCAATAAAATGTCTATTTCAGATAATTTGAAGAAAATCAGATGATCTTAATAATTATACATTGCTGTTACGGTGGCTTAAAGATATATTTCTGTAAATTTACATCACGAAATTCAACAAAACTTTTGATCGCGGTCGCAAACCACCAATTTATTAATCTTATAGGTTTTTACTTCTAATCTATGGATTAACACCCTTCTTGTTTATATTTATATTTATATTTCACTAGGATACGCCGTAGTGATCTAGGATTAGATGAAAGATTTGAAGGTCGACAAAACAGGTGTAAAAAACATAGCTGATTAATCGATTATTAATCGATTTTATCCAGCCAAAAGAGGTAAGGCGTCAGAAATTTATACATATATAGGTCTTCGTATTATCAGATTTTAGCTATACTTATGAGTCCTATTTGGAAAATCAATATTCTTTATCAGAACCCTTCAGTTAATAAGAATGTTTATATACGTATGGATTATATACAGCTCGGATAGAAGACATACGCCAAGAAGCTCATAGATAATTTGAGACTAGCCGGCATGGGAAACGCTACAGTACTACTGACCTAGCAAAGGCAGAATGTACAAGCGATCAAGCCATGCCATATCCAGAATTTCACAGAAAACGATCCATTTGAGGCAAGTGCAACCGCTGATAATGGACTCATCGATGTGACTTGAAGTGCATTCCAGATTTGTCGCATTCGTTTGCATATATCCAAAGGCAGTTTATGAGCAAATGAGTGCCAGTGGCTAATTTACCTTTTTGCGGAACAGAATGCGGAGCAACACCCTTCCCAAAGTGTGGGGTCCCCACAATACCTCCGCAAGGCCAACTTAAAGGGTTTACGTGAACTACTTAAACAGGCTCAAACTTGATGTCTGGTCGAGAAATCAATTATTTCGCTTGAACAACCCGGTGAACAAGCTGCATCGCCCAGAATGTGGTCCATTGTCCGCCTTTTTCTTACACTTGGCCTGATAGCCACTGCGGTACCTGCTGTGTTTGGACATGTTGCCAGCAAACCGACGAAATTGCGCACCGTTGTCACAACCGACATGGAGCAGGACGACCTCGCCTCGCTCATTCGATACTTACTTTACACAAATGATCTCGATACGCAAGGCATCATCTATAGTTCTAGCGTATGGCACTGGGCCGGCAACGGCAACGGCACGTCACTGCGCTGGACTGGAACCCGAACCATTCAGGACAAAGTACTGAAGGCTTATGCAAAGGTTTACCCTAACCTTCGTCGCCATGATCCATCCTACCCAACCCCAAAGGAGCTACTTTCTACGGTCAGAATTGGCAACATTGACTTTGAGGGTGAGATGAATAAAGACACCGCTGGCTCCGATCTCATCAAAGAGCTGTTGCTTGACGATGATCCACGAAAGCTTTACTTGCAGGTCTGGGGTGGCACCAACACTATTGCCCGTGCCCTCAAGTCAATCGAGGACCAATATTCTAAGTCACGCAACTGGGCACAGACCAAAGATAGAATCTCCCGCAAGGCCGTCATCATGGCCAGTGGCTTCCAGGATGATACCTACGCTGATTATATCGCCCCTAACTGGCCCCAAATCCGCGTCGAGGAGCTGTCAACTGGCTACGCCCTCTGGGCATACAATTGCAACAAAGGCCAAGGCAACGTTCGCGGGCTACCCGACGATAACTTGTATTTCACTGGCAAATGGATCAGGCCAAATATCGAAATGGGGCCGTATGGAAAGCTCTATCGCGCCTGGCTCGACGGTCAGTCCATGCCAGGTGATCCGGAGGATGTTTACGGCAATAAAACAAAAGCGGCCGCTAGCTGGTGCAAGCCACTTTATCCGTACGACTTCCTTTCCGAGGGCGATAATGTGGCCTTTAACCCCCTCTTGACCACCGGCATTCAGGACCCAGCTAACCCGAATCTCGGTGGCTGGGGCGGTCGAGCAAAACAGAACTCTACTTCTCCGGATCTGTGGGTGATGGTTCAAAGCGAGGTCGGGCAAAATGGCAGCGAAGTAGACTTGTACACCATAAGCCGTTGGATAGCGCCAGTTCAGAACGACTTTGCGGCCCGCATGCAGTGGACAGTGACACCGAAGTACCGCAACGGAAACCATGCGCCCGCTGTTAAGATTCTAAATGATGGAACAGTTAAGGGACTTCCTGGTGATACGGTCACACTGGCCGGTGCAGTTTCCGATCCAGATAATGACAACGTGAACACTTCTTGGTGGCAATATTTGGAGGAAGGCACATACCCTGGCACCGTGTCTGTGGCTGCTCAGGGAAAGAACCGGGCGATTGTGAAGATTCCAGCTGATGCAAAACGCGGTCAG